TCTAAGGGGAAATTTGTCTCAGTTTTCCTAAAGGATATGGGTTCTAAAGCAAATCCCAAACCTAGAACTATAGAAACAAGAATCAAAGGCCAAAGATCTGAAAACAAGCAAGAAAAACAGAAAATGAACATGATTCACAATCAAAAAGAATCATAGGCAAGCAAGATTCAAGAAACAATTAAAGTAGAAATGTAGAGAATAACGCAAATATGGCAAGAACAGTGCTAGACGTTCATGAGCACAAACATGATCAATGCAATAGTGAACATTCCAAAAACAAGAAATGTGAATGATAACCAAAATACGATCCCAGTATTGGTGTGCATTACAAGAACAATAAGCGGTACAAGTAACAGGTTCAAGAATGAAAAGTGGCTGAAATGCAGAAAGCCCAGAGACAGGCAAAAATACATTCGTAAACATCTAGGTGACGGTGTGTGAAACAATGATGTGCAATCAAGAACACAATCGATGCGGGAAAAAGTGATTCAAGATCCAGACACACATACAAATTCAATGACAACACATGAGTAAATACAGCATAAGCTTGTGGCAAATTCAGAGAAAGAAACACACTGCAGACTGGAATTGAAAAAGAAAAAATTAAAGACTTACCGACAAGAGCCGAGGAAATAAATGACGGAGTATGTGTTATCGAAATCTGACGACCACAATGAACGGGGCAAAACAGTAAATGCTTCACCGGAGATGATGAACAGAGCATGGTAACAGAGCTTCAAACAGATGAAAAATGAAGGATTGGGAACTCTAGAGAGAGAAAATATGAGAATGAGAAGTAAAGAGGCACAGAGAGAGAAAGAAGAGTTTTGTGAAAAATTGAAAAGGCGAAAAAATTGCAATGAAATGCCTTAGATGACGTGCCTGTCAGGTGGCACGGATAGAAATGACGCAGCATGCTAGTACGTGTCAAGTACAAACCAGTGGGGAAAGGACACGTAGAGGAAACGATTGAAAAGACTCTGCATGACAGTTCATACGCAGTTAGAACTCTTGAAATTCTTAAAATAACGAGGCCATAACCTCGGCCAGAGGAGCGATCTCGGTTGAGATGCTTAAAGAACTAGATCCTTGGCTCTTGATCCTCGGGAAAATGGACAGTTGAGTCCTGGCTATATGAAGCCGATGAGTCACGATCTCAATCAAAGAGAAAAATGAATTTTTAGCCGACATGAAGTGTGGACAAACGATATAGGTTTCATCACCTCAGGTTGCCGAGGTAATAAAACCTAGGGGCAGTTGTAGGGAAGTATTTTGTGAATGACAGCACATGGCTAAGGTGAAGCCGAAGTATAAGCCGAGGTGCCACGTGGCCTAGTTACTAAAAGACAAGTTAGTATAATTATGTCAAAAGCATAAGGCTATCTATATTTTCTTAATTTACCCAAAAATTATAGGGTAATTCTATTTACACCATCATTTTATCTATTTACAATCTCAAATTTTTTCATTCTTTTACTACAATTACCCTTATCTAAAATGACCAAAACATCCTCAAAACCCTAACCCTAATTTCTCAATTCACCCCTACTTCATCCCTATGTCCACAAACCATCACCACTACCTCTGTCGCTAGTGACACTATCCATTATCGCCGGTGCCGCTCCCAATCCCCTTTTTGCCCCACCCTCATTCCCACTCCCACTTCTCATCTTTATCTTGTTCTTTATCTTCTTCTCTAAAACTCTATTCCTCTCTCACTCTCTTTCTATGTCTTTCTAGTTCACAATGAAGGTAGCTAGGTCATGCAATGAAGGCGACTGGATTATGATAGAGGGTTGCAAGGCGAAAGAGGGTAGTTCATGATGGTCACAGTGAAAGGGATAAGTCGAGGATGGTTGTAACTGTGAGAGAGACTGAAATGATAGTCAGAGACGAGGATCAAAGGTTGTGATGGTCAGAGGTGGAGAGGACCGTGGCTGGTTTGTAGAGAAAAAGCGACAGTCGAAAGGGGAAGGCAATTGTAAAGGGTGGTCACAAGAAGAGGGGGTCCGCCGGTGGAATGGGGGACTGTGGTTTGGTGGTTGGATTTGACAGCAATGGTTGTCACTAGACGTGCCGACAGTGGCTACTGAAGTTAGGAGTTAGATTTAGGGTTTGAAAATAGGGGGTAAAGAAGATAAGGGCAAGCTAGGTATCATGACAAGTGTAAAGAGGAAAAAAAAAACCTGAATTTTTATTGTGGTGTAATTAGAAATTTGGTGTAATGAGACAAAATTATCATGCAAGTAAAATTACCCAAAATTATATCAAAATGAATAATTATAATTCAACAACACTTATCTAAAACCATAACAACCAGCATAAGAAAGAGTTCATAATAAAATAAATAAACTCACTACAACTATGAACTTCATACTGAGAGACACAAATAATATAAAAAAATTGAGGCTAGCTTTCCATCCATGTTTTGTCAAAAAAAAACAAAAATTGTAAAGTTGTTTTCAATCAAAGACTTAGCAATATAAAATTAGCGTCCATTTAGTAACATTTGTGTTAACAACAGTTGTTCTCTCTAAGAAATCCTAGTCTCTCTCTCTCTCTCAAATCCTAGTTGTTTTCTTTTTCTTTGCTCTCAAGGGGGAGAAGGTGGTGCTTTTAACCTTTATTTTTCCTCTATTTCTTTTCTTGTGGTTTCTATCACAATGTTAGCCACTACCATTCCTCTTGTCTCCATCATCGACTTGCCACCAAAGAAGCTTTCAGATCTAGACTCAGATCTAATTCATAACTGAGATCTAATGCTATTAAACTTGTTGTTATACGTTAAGCGACCACCTCAGATCTAAAATATTTTATTTTGTAATGTAGAGGCGAAGATTAAGGTACCACAGCTATTAGTTACGGCGATGAACGGATCGTGAAGGTAATTGGTATTATTTGTTTGGTGGTGATCATTTTGTTTTGTTTTATTTTTTTGTTTGTTTTTTATTATTATTTTTTTGCAATAAAATCTCTCTATGTATCTCCTTTCATGAAAAGTTTCTCCTCCCTGTGTGAAGGTTTGTTTTTCTCCCTATGTGGAGACTCGTATTCTTCTTACGTGAAGGTTCTCTTTATCCCTTTTGGCATTTATTTTGTACTCCAATATAGTTTATGATATACCATATATTAAGCATTGTGCTTTTCCATTTTAAAAAAATTGTTAACAACAGGCATGTATTTATTGTTATAAAAAATCTGGAATTATAAATAAGAAACAGTTTTAGTGTCCATTTTTATTTATAAAAAAAATATGGATAATTTATAGAATTATTAAATTTTTATAAACAAAAGAAAGAAATACTTTCTCTTGTTTTGAGAACAAAATTTTAATTATTTCAACCCCTCGATATCAATATCATTATTGACCTGTAATATTACTAATTAATAATAAAACAACATATTAATACGTGAATCCCACTGGTCAAATGTATTAATAATTCAATAACTTTCAATAATTGTGCATTTTGGAGTCATATGTCTATCAGGTCATGTTTGATTGGGGGTTTGGGAGGATGGATTGGATTAGCAATCCGTGGGACCCACCAAACCCTTATTTGAATGCAACAAAATGTCATAGGATTAGTAGTGTAGGGGGCTTAGTAATCCGCCTCTGTAGGGGAATTAGTTTGGGTGAATTTTAGGTGGGATTAGGAAAATAGTGAGGGGATTGTGTCTATTTTATATATAAAAAAAAAATTAATTTTTTTTTTTATTATTACCAAGTGCACCTATTTGTTTTAATATTTGTTTTAATATAGGAAAATTTTATTTATTTATTTTCTATAAAAATAATTTAACAATCCAATTAATAATCATCTCCCACACTATCACCAAAACAAACATACTTTTACTTAATCCCCTTACAAATAATCCACACATTAACAATCTCTTCACTAACAATCCTCTCACTAATAATCTTATCCAACCTAATCCTCCAAACAAACATAGCCAAGAGAATTCTCACAAATTTAAATTCAATCTTGAGGGTTCCATAGTCCCATTACGAGACATGTTTTAATGATTTAAACTGTTCATTTTATAAGGCATTTCATGTATATCATCGATACATCAGATCAACCTACTTTTTTTCATAGATGCAATGGATTGACCTAATTTATATTAGTGTAAATTTTTTCATAAATATATACAAGGAGGGTCTTACAAAATGAACGGTTTGAATTTCGAAACAAGATCCGTGAAATGCCCCACAAGCCAGAGAACTTGAGAGAAGCTCAACCCATATGACAAATGTTTTGAAATTATCCAAATTTTCATAATATTTTATAATTTTCTCATATTATTTTAATTATTATTATTATTATTATTTCGCGACTATAAAATTTCTTAAAAAATTAGATTATTAGTTTTTAGACAAGAATAAAAATTCAATGTAACACTCATATGGATTATATGGTATTACCAATAAAAAAAAGTTACATTACGTGGAGGGTCAACTCAATAACTGCCTAGTCATATATACATGGAAAGTGAAATATAAGAAATAATTAAACAGTGATACTAATGATATGGTGTCGCTGTTATATTAATTTTTTTTATCCTATGACGGGTTGGGTGGATTGGGTTAAACTCCCCATACCTTAATCTCTCCATATCTCTCTTATAGGCTCCAATGCGGGCTCGCACCATTGATCCAAACCGTCTATTTTATAAGTTTCATAATCAAGGTCATTCATGCAAAAAATAAATTTCACCAAAAAATTATAAATACAGGAACAAAAATTATTTTATTTTATAAAATGGGGGAGCTATTGGTGAATTTTAACCACACACACAATTTCCCAAATTTTATGTCTTTGTACAAAAACTACCCATTATATGGAAGTTTCACAGAGGTTCATATCTTGGAAAAAAAAAGTTATGTATGCAATGACAAGAGTCACAATTCCACACAAACTTTCTATCTCCACGTGAGACATAGTCAAAGATGACAAAACGTGGAAGTTTTTATTTTAGTATTGCTGCAGAGACTAAAACTGACCTCAATTTCCAAGTCTTTGTGTGTGTGGAAGCTATACACAAGAAGAATCAAATTTTGCGTTCACATGCTTTGTGGAATTTGAAAATACAACCCCAAGAAAACGCACACCATATTGAATTGTATCTTCTGCACTTTGTTATTCTGTGGGAATAGAAGAGAAACAACAATAGTCCTCAGGGATGCATGGCTTTGGAAGTGAGAGGCCTCCTCACCTAAACAGAGAGGTAACTAATCTTTTCACTTTTCAGTAACCTATTTGTGGCCTCTCTTGTATGTGAATGTTTGATTGTGTTTTTGTTTTCCTTCTTTTCGTCTTTCTCTTTTCTTTTCTTTTTTTTATTTTTTTTTGCTGTTGAAGTAAGGTATTTTTGTTATTTCTGTACTTGTTACATTATCCTAATTTTTATGTATTATTTTTGTGTATGTGTTTGATTTATAATTCTTGTGTGTTTTTTTGTTTGTTTTAAAGGATCGTGGTTAGGTGTTATGAATTCCTAACATGTTATGTTTTCGAAACAAAACAACAAAAAATTCTAAAACTTTTCATTTTTGTTTAATTTTTGTGCAGTTTCAGAAACCCAAAACAATTTTTTGACGTTTCTTCTAGTGAGTTGTTTTTAGAAAAAAGAATTATGAGAGTACTGTTTTAAAAAATATTTTGTCAAATGTAAATAGAAAACGAAAACACAACCAAATTCACTTATTGGGTTCTGTTTTGTTTTGTTATGGAGTTGCCCATATAGAATATTCTAGTGCAGTGCTGGATTTTGATGCTTAACTATATTGAGTTTTTGACTGATAGGTCATGTTAAGTTTGATCTGTTTAAATAAACCCCAAGTCTTGATTCCTTTCCATATGTAATTTCTTGAGATTTATGCCCACTCTTGTTAATTCCACTGAATTTGCTTAGTATAGGTTGATGATTGCGTGTAAAATTCTTGGGTCACTTTCCCAGTGCTCAACAACTGTTTATGTTTTAGATCTATACAAAAACTTGGATATCTGATTTTCCTGACTGGATTTCTTCTATATCCCCTTCTCAAATTCATATTTATGACTTTGCAATTCTTGAATTTTCCCGGTTTTTTGTTTTTTACTTTCTTTGTTTTTTGTGCTTTTACATAGGGGAGAAAGAGAAATGATGCTGTGGAAAACGGTCTTCAATCAGACCTTGAGCATGGAGATGCAGTACCGGTAATTGCAGTTTCTGTTAGACCTTTCAATTTCAAATCTTTGATATACTACTTATTTCCCTGGGTATTATATATCTAAGTTGCTAACTTTCTTGGAAAAATCAGGCTGCAAATGTCGGGTTTGGTAGAGTACTAGCACTTGTAAGTGGAAATTACCTGGTTTTGTTACTGTTTGAAATACATGAAGTTATTAATATCTCATTACTTGGCAGGCAAAGCCTGATACAGGAAAATTGATCCTCGCTACGGTTGCTCTATTGATCGCATCCACGTCAAGTATATTGATTGTATGAAATTTTGCTATTTGTGTGCACGAGCTTGTATTTGATAGTTTAGTTAAACACTATATCCAATTTAGAGACACGCGGTATTGATTTTTTATTTTATTTTTTTAACTTGGAAATGTTCATGCTGCAGCCAAAATTTGGTGGGAAAGTAATTGACATTGTGTCGAGAGATATCCAAACACCTCAACAGAAAGATGAAGCATGGGACGAAGTCAAGAACACCATACTATATATCTTTCTGATTGTCATAGTCGCGTATGACCATTTCTGAATTTCTTGCCATCAATATCAGTAATATTCCTAGTCACGAACAATTGTCATTTCAGGGGCTTATTTATCCTATTCTTCTTTGTAGGTCGATTTGCACAGCACTTCAGGCATGGTTGTTTTCTTCAGCTAGCGAAAGGGTTGTTGCACGGTTGAGAAATAACTTGTTCAGTCACCTCATTCACCAAGTTCAGTGATCTTCACAAGTTCCATGATTGTTTTTTTCCCCATGTCTATTAAATTCCATTTGTTGCTAAGAGAATGACATTTCTTTTTCCTTCTCTACATATGCTTGGCAATTTAATGGCATTATGAATTTTATGACACTTTCGATGGAAAGGTTTTTCACAGCAACTGATAATTTTGTAGGAAATAGCCTTCTTTGACATTACCCGAACCGGGGAACTCCTAAGTAGGCTATCTGAAGCATAGTTCTAAATCGCGGTATCGGGTAACGTAACGGTATCGATCGCGGAGTATCGGTATCGGTAGTATCGACCGGTACGTATCGGGAATCGGGTGTCGCGGCCGTGAAATTTTAAAAATCATTAGCAATCCCTCTAAAACTCAATTTTATGCATTTTTTTTACTCTTTTAGCCTTAATTTGTCACATTTTAATCAAAATCTTGATATGTAGGAGCACTTTTGACTCATTTTCAACTAAATGATATGTATTTATTTTAGTCACAATTATAACTTTTAATTATCTGCAATATCATTTTCAACTAAATGATATGTATTTATTTTAGTCACAATAATATATTTAAAATAAAAATAAAAATCTAATTAGAATAAACATCTTTAAAAAAAAAATTCTAAATCTTAAACATCTACACCAAAACAAGACACAAATAAAAAAAATAAAAAAATATAGTACAAAAACATGGCATCAAAATAAATAAATAAATAATAAAACCCAATAACAAACCTTTCCACTAATCCAACTTTTGACAGATTGGATTGAACATGTATTTTTCTTATTTTTTTTCCCTTCTTCTACTCAGTAAAAAAAAAATAATATATATATATATATTAATATAAACAGTGGTGGTGTAGTGTAGCCTGTAGGTGTATAAACAAGGAAAAATGAGGGAAAAAAACATAGCACTAAAACAGAGCATAGCAACAGCAATGGTTCCAAAAAACAGAGCATCAACAACTCACCAAAAACAAAGCATAAACACAAATTATAACTTGCAACTCAGGGACACAAACCGTCTTTGAAGAAGCTTGAAGATCAAAGTGAACTCCATAGCCCAAAGAAGCTTAGAACTTGCAGGTTTTCGGCACTGATTTTCATCCGTACCGGCGTGTATCGGACTGTATCGTCGTATGTATCGGATTCGGGCTGATACGTGTCGCTTGGCAATTTAATGGCATTATGAATTTTATGACACTTTCGATGGAAAGGTTTTTCACAGCAACTGATAATTTTGTAGGAAATAGCCTTCTTTGACATTACCCGAACCGGGGAACTCCTAAGTAGGCTATCTGAAGACACACAGATCATAAAAAATGCAGCAACTACCAATCTCTCTGAGGCCCTAAGGAGTCTTTCTACTTCAGTGATCGGTCTTGCATTCATGTTTGCAACATCTTGGAAATTAACATGTAATTGCTCTATAATTTACAACCAAACCGTGAACTATATTCATATATCATCCTCATTGTAATGTGCTCATTTTATTTCTTGTTTAATTTTTTGTCTTCAGTATTATCTTTGGTTATTGTTCCGGCCATCTTTATTGCTATCCACCAATTTGGTCGCTTTTTGCGTGAACTATCTCACAACACTCAATCCGCTGCTGCTGTTGCTGCCTCAATTGCTGAGGTTTGTTGGTGACAATAGAAATTTTAGTTTTCTCTATGTTGAAACTTGATTATCTCGAGTTTAAAATTGTTGTTGTTAAACCTTACAATCCCTCACCCACTAAACCAATTTGATGGTGTGATGGGAAAGGGTTAGAGAATACAATAATTTAGGGTTGGGAATATATCTTCTTTATATTGGTTTCATTGCTCATGAATATCAACCTTAACAAAATAAAAAAATAAAAAAATAAAATCTAGGGTTTCATAATGAGGAAAGAGAAGAATTCTCTTAGATATAGTTAGATAAAGGAAAAGAGATTCAAGTGTGCTTATGTAGGACAACTGCAAAGGCATTTGTTAGATATATGCCAGTTGTGGAGTATACAAGTTGTAAATTGACTAAACTACACATTAATAATGTTATAAACACTATGAAATATTCCCCAAAAAGCCCATGTTGTACTGTAAGTTTTCATTATTACTTAGTATTAGATTTTATTCTTGACAATCATGTTTGACAAAACTCCTTTCAGTTGTACTTGTATTTGCACTTTTTTATTTCAGTGAGGCTATGAGTTTTTAAATGCGAATCCAACCCGAATTGTGACTTGCAGAGAAGTTTGTGGTGCTAATTCTTTCATGATTATCACTTTGCTGACTATGATGAGGATCCTGTGAGGCGTGTTTTTACGCTTGAGCGTCTATTCTTCGCTCGATCATACATCTTGGTTTGGAACACGTGATATAGAGTCCCCGCTTGAGCATCCATTCCCACGCTCGAGCGGATCTCGCGATCTCAGCTTTTATAAAACCTCAAGTTGCTCCAAATCTAGGGTTACGCTTCCAGATCTTCTTCTTGGATATTAGGGTTTATATCTGAGGCTATTTTGCTAGTTTTCTTTGATATTTGGTTGAGTATTCAACTCATGGTTTAAGAGGTACACATCAAAAGTTTGTTCGTTTATTCAATACAAAAGAGAGAGTTATTTTTCGGTAGATTCTGGAGAATTCGAGCCTGAAGTTTTAATGAATTTTGGAGTGGCTCATCGTCGTAATCCGACATCGGCGTTGTAGATTCAACGTTGAGTAAGACAGTTCCGAGGTGAAGACCGCAGTGGAAGAGGCATACAGGGGTCAGTTCAATTCGAGCATGGATTTGTTAGGTAATTGAGAGTACACTTGTGTAATTCCTTTTGTCTTTTTAGTGAATTGTTTTGTGACTTGGCCCGTGGTTTTTTATCACAATTGGAAGTGCTCCAATTGTGGTTTTTTCGCATTAAAATCGTTGTGTCGATTTATCTTGATTGTTTGATTGAGATTGTTATCTACTATTTAAAATTGATACATAATCACAAATCAATATGTAGAGGATTTCTAGATTTTTCACTTAGTACTATTCATTTTCCCGCTAAATCTGCAACTGTTATTTAGGAAACTTTTGGTGCCATACGCACAATGAGATCTTTTGCTCAGGAAGAATATGAAATTTCACGCTATGCAAAGAAAGTTGATGAGACATTAAATCTTGGACTTAAACAAGCTGTGAGTTTCTCTCTCTGTCTCTCTCTCTCTCTCTCTCTCTCTCTCTCTCTCTTCATATGCACGCACAAATTGAAGTTGTTTTCTGCTGCAGAAAGTAGTTGGATTGTTCTTTGGAGGTCTAAATGCAGCATCATCACTAGTTATTGTAGTAGTTATCTATGGAGCCTATCTAACAATCCATGGCTTTATGACCTCGGGTGATCTTACATCCTTCATTCTTTACAGCCTCACAGGTATACCCTCATTGTTATCTGCATTCAAATTAAGTGAAATAGATACTAGCTTTTTTACACGGATTCATTTGAGATAGTTTGAAGATCTGATTATTGGTTAACACAACACAACTGTCTTTTTTTGGGACCAGTGGGATTATCGGTATCTGGACTATCTGGATTATACACAATAGCAATGAAAGCTGCAGGAGCTAGTAGGCGGGTTTTCCAGCTTCGGGATCGCGTCTCATCGATGCCAAAATCAGGAAACAAGTGTCCTTTGGGGTTTATTTTTTTCCATCCTATGATCTCTTTCTCTTTTTGTTAATTGTGACTAATGCACTTCGCTAACAAATTTGCATGAAAAAATAGAAGGATAATTGTGAATTATGCATAAATGACCAGATTATGTTTATGATAATGCAATGTCCAAAAGTGATAATGTATTGATTGCCATCTATTGTAGTGGTCAAGATGCGGAAGTGGAGTTAGATGATGTCTGGTTTGCCTATCCCTCACGACCAAATGATATGGTGCTCAATGTAACGATCTCTCCCTGACTTCTTTCAGATTGAACACAATATTTGGCTTTAAATTTGAGTGTTCTGATAGAACCATGACTCATTCTGTGAATTAGGGAATAACATTAAAACTGCAGCCTGGTTCAAAGGTTGCTCTGGTCGGTCCAAGTGGTGGTGGGAAGGTAATGTTGGAAAATTTGAATTTAATTTACTTCAATGGTTGTGTCTCTTGAAATGAAAGGGTGTGTCCTTTTGAAGGATCACAACCTTTTTGAAGAGTCACTTAGTAGTCTTTATATTCCATGTCCCTCACTTCTTTTTAAAATAGAGAATTGCCATACTTCTTCACTTTGTATTTATTCTTCATATTTCTTGAGTCTAATTTTCCTATAAAGAGAGTTCATGCACAGCAAAGTTCGCTAGGCTTGCAATAGTAGTGCTGCTAGTGCAAGACATTGATCGTTGTATCCTGGGAGATAGACGTCCATTGAATCCTAAGCACCGGTGGGAGGACGAATCTGTCTTAAGATTGTTGGATCACACACTCGACTCGATTTGGTGAGGTGAGGGAATTAAAAGGCAAATTGTAAGTGTTGTGATTGCCGTTGTGTATAACGTCTTGGAGAAATATTTTCCATTGGTTGGAAAGATATGTTTTTGTGAAAGATATGTTTTCGAATTAACAGGAAGTCTTTGAAGTATATCCTATATCTTTACCATGGGAAGTCTTTGAAGTATATTCCATAACTTTACCCTGTACTACGGAATTTAGTTAAAATTCTTTGCCTACTTTGCTTGCTTTGGATCAGGTTGTTGCTATCAACAAATTTAAATTTTCAGACATGTTTTTGCTTGAAATCAGGTTTGCTAATAACATGTCCACAATTGTCAACTTGTTTTCAAAAACTGTTTTCTGTTCACAGGAAAAAAAAAAATACAAATATTTGTTTGGCAGACTGTTTCCAGAAACTGCAATATATATATATATATATATATATTTGTTTCTCTTGTAGCAATTATGAATAGATGCGTCTTTTCCCTATTACGGCTTTGACCATTGGGTTTTGATTTTTAAATTTAAAACCATGTATATGGTGACTTGATAATAGAATTTTATTTTTATTTATTTATTTATTTTTTTTTTTTTAAAAAAAAAGAAATTTTTACAGCCTGTTTAAAATTTTGTTTTCCATTATTCAAAGTGTCTTTGACGTTATACAATAAGACACCTTTTTCTCTTTAAATTTTGTGTGATAATAAAGCAATATATTGTTTTTATATGCCTGGTTTGAAGTGGTTAAATCCATATATTGGATTTAAGTCATTGGGTCTAAGGTTTCATATTTATATTCATGGTTTATTGTAACCCACAAGATTATTTGTGGAAATTTCAAGAATATATTTTAAAATCAAGTTATGATTTTCATTATAAAAATCAAGATATTACTTTTGGTTGGTGATCTCTTGAAGTTGGAAAAAATATGGAGTATATGTTATATACTGGGGATTTTTTTTTTTTAATGTAATTTGATGTCATTTACATGTGCATTTTAATTTGTAGTAATTCCAATTAATTTGCAATGAGCCTTTTGGCGTCATATGTTGCTATGAAATCTTTTATGGGAAAAGAAAAATGTGATGTGTTAGTTGTTGACTGATTTATTTCCAGTGCTTTGTCTGGGATTTAAATTAAATTTTATTTGAAAGTTTGTGAAATTTTTAATTAATTTGTGATTGTTATGATGACATTCCAATGGATCTCTTGTGGGGTATTGTTTCGAAAAGTATATTTCATGTGTAAATAATCATTTTGTTTGATTGTGACAGTAGTATTAACAATCGTTAACACCAGAAAAATTTTAAACTTGATGTTTGAAATAGTGGTATCATTCCATTTAAGTGGAAGTAGATTGAAAAATCTTTTATGTTGATTATTAGTTAGTTAATAATCAAGTTGAAAGATATTTTTAAAGTAACTTTGAGTTTGTGACATAAATTGTCATCAATCATTATTTTACTTGTATAGTAGAATTTGTTTAACCATGAACCATAATATTAATATGGGCGTTTATCTTTTGAATGAGAAAAGATAATTCAATTTTCTTTGTCCCAAATATTCATCAATAATGAATTATTAGTTGTGGCAATGACACTTGTTTGAGAATGAATCATGTTGTTTGTGCTAATTTATGTATTATCACAAATGTGGGGGAAGAGAGATTCCATGTCTACATATGTTGTAGAGATTCCATGTCTACATATGTTGTAGAGTTGACAATCAATTTATGATATCCTTAATATCAATTTGGTATGCGGTGTATTATAAATGGATGTCAATTATATTGATATATTATAAATGGATGTTAATTATTTATCAAAGTATTGATAAAAATGTGAACTTATGTGTTTTTACATAAGAGGAATTCTAATTATTCTTTGGAATAAAGACTAAAATTGGTGTGGTGACCGATAACTCCATAATGAAATATTATAAGTTAAAATATTTCATGGGTGAAAGACACTTTGGTAATTGTTAACGTAGTCACCAATACTGGATAAAACAAATAAGATGTAAATGTATTTATTCAGTGATATTCCATGTTGAGATTGGAATTAAGGGTTGCAGTAAACAAAAAGAAATTAATCTTGGCTAAAGAAATGTTATTTGACAAAGTGTTGTGGCCACAACTGGTTTTAGTGGTTTCTTCTTTGTACTGCAAAAGCAAGTTATGAAGTCCAAATGTTTTAGACAAATTAGTATTGTGATTATATTCACAAAATAGTTTACATCTTGTTTTTTAGTTCAAGCACGTCAATTAATGATATATTCTTTTAAATACTCGTGATTCTGTTATTATTAATTGTGATAATTGCAGAAAATGGCGAATGCCGATGAATTCATATCCAAATTTCCCAAAAAATACCAAACCTTAGTTGGAGAACGCGGGGTGAGGCTTTCAGGAGGTCAGAAACAGAGAGTAGCAATTGCAAGAGGTCTTCTAATGAACCCAAGAATTCTCCTCTTAGACGAAGCCACGAGTGCTCTTGATGCTGAAAGCGAATACCTAGTCCAAGTTCGACTTACATACTATTACTCACCTACTTTTAAAAGTTTTTTTTCGTATTTTTAGTTGACTATACATGCATTGCTGTTGTGTAGGATGCTATGGATTCGCTGATGAAGGGAAGGACGGTTCTAGTTATCGCGCATAGGCTCTCGACTGTCAAAAGTGCAGACATTGTCGCGGTTGTTTCTGATGGTCAAGTGGTTGAAAGTGGCACTCATGACGAGCTCCTCGACAAAGATGGTGTCTATACTGCATTGGTGAGGAGACAACTGCAAGGATCCAAAACTTGAACCAAGTTTCAATGATTTAGGTTTCTTTGAAGACTGAAGAACATGGAGGGAAGTTTTATGGATTGGTAAAAAATTAATGCAAATAATTTTATATACTTCTTACATGCTAAACTATCTCATTATGCTTCTTGCAACTAGAAATTTGAGTGTTTGAATGATTATATTTGTTTTGAAAATTTATTTTACTTCTTGTTTTAAAAAAATAAAAATATTAAATATAAAAAAAAATGAATTGACAATGTCATCAAGCTCTATCTAATTTCTTACTTTTGTTGGTCATGATAGAAAATAAGAAGAAAAGTAAGTAGATATTTCTCAAAAAGTCCCTTTTTTTTGTTTTATTTTTTGGTTACACCAAGAAAAGTGAACAGATACAATAATTTAATTTCCATCAATTTTGAATCCAAACATATCCATAAATCTTCATTTTGGTGCATTCAACAGTAAATCTTAAAGGATTTTGTTGATAAACTTGAAATAATTAATCAACTAACTAATTCGATTGGTCACTTTTATATAATCTAAGAGGTTGGGGGTCATCTTTGCACAAAAATTTGATTATTTCTCTCTCATTATACTATTATATATAAAAAAAAATTCTTCTCATTATGAGCTATTTATTATTGTCGTTGTTGGGTGTAAATGGTTTCCAGATTAATGTAATTCTTCTCACATTAATAGTTACTTTCTTATTGATTGGCAAAATAAAATGAAATATTACAATTATCAGTAGAAAAGGCTTTGATGCCCAATCATCAAACAATCAATATTTATGTTAAGAGTACATGAAAAAACTCAAAATCAAAAACAATCTAGCAAAATATGAGAAAAATTTATTTACAAGATAAAAAAAAATTATTTAAAAAAAAAATCACCGACATAACATATAATGCTAAAACTTTTTTTAGATTTGATATAATAATAAAAACTTAGGCAAATTACTAAGAAGTCCTCTTTCAAAAAGGTGTGACCTATTTAGTCTCACAACCTTTTTAGTCCCATAACCTTTTGTTTACACTCAAAAATCCTATAACGTTTTTCTTCTTCTCAGCCTTTGTTCTTCTGTACCTCTTCTTCTTTCTGATTCCCAGCAATCGTCGCCGGGTAACCAGATCTTACTTCTTCTCTTTCTCTTTCTATTTCTCTTTCTCTTTCTCTTTCTGATATATAGTCACCAGCGACCGATATATAGTCACTAGCGACCGATGACTACCATCGATTAGGGTTCACCGGCAACCACCGACCGCTAACTCCTTACTTCACCCTCACCGACGGTGAAAAAGATATGTTTCCGATGAAGAAATTAAGTAAATCTACTTAGATCTGATGTAACATTAGATCCGGCTATATCTAAACAAAAAATAGTTGCCGAAATATAATCATCTCTCTATATCTGCCTCTCTCCTTCAATCTCTTAATTTTTTTACATTTTCTCTGCTATACACTTCTGTTTTCCTATTTTAATGAAGAAAATTTTCAAGTTCTAAACAAGTTGTTTTCGAGTTTTAGTTACAGGTAGTGAAAACTGTAAAATTTTGTAGTTTCAATTTTTTTTTGGTGTTGGGATGAATCATGGTTTAAAACTATAAAATTTTACAGTTTTATAACATTCTTTAGAGCTGTAAAATTTTGCAATTTCATAACATGTTTTTCAGTTTGATTAATCAGGATAAATGCTTAATAGATTTTTGTTTTGAAACTGTAACATTTTACAGTTTCAAAGCTTGCTTTTTAGTTTGATCAATATTGGAGATTATTTGCTTAAACCCTACAAAAAATGAAAAATAACATGTTTTTTCTCATTATTGTTGTTTTTTGTCGTTA